CTATATATCTGTTACGACAGTGGAAGTCACGTGGTAGCGTGCGTGACGATTTTCTCGAATGATCGGGGAAGTCCGAGTGTATTCGAGACACCCTCTTCATTAGCATATAGGCCTGGCAGAGAAAGCCAGCAGGGATAATTGATGAGAGAGCAGTAGTTACTTTGAGTTCCGTGTAATTTATGATTCTGCAAGTTTCAAGCTAGTGAACCATAAAGTGTGTGTTTTGCACTCTTCGAGAGTGAAGTTATCGAGATTGTGAATCACTGTGATTTATAGCGTGTATTATACAAGTTGTTAAGTTTAAAGTGACGAGAAACATACTGATTGTGGAACTTTCGTGTACTAAAAGTTTGTATCGAGGAAGAATAAACTGGTTTATTCAAGAAAGGATTTGTATCACTGAAGATCCTCCGAAAGAATTTCTACCAGAAACAAACAAACAAGCAGATACGTAACATAGCTTTTTTTAGTAGAAAAAAGCTTCGTAATCTCCAGTTAACCATTAACACTTTAGCTAGTGATCAGGTAGAATATTCAGCACCTGATAAGTGAAAGTGGGTTTTCTTGGGGCACTCCCGTTTTCTCCAACAGCAAAATTATTTTCATTGGATCTTAAGATACCACCATAAGAAGGACCACTCCACTTCATATTTTATATTCAAATTTAAATGACATTTTTAGTATTAATTCAACCAGTTATTTAATTTTTGCCATCAATTTTAATAAATCAAAACCCATTAAAAATTACTATCTTTGCTAGTTTTAGATGTATTCATCCCCTATCAAGAATTAATTAATCAATCACTTCAGACCCTAATTATTACTCTTATTTGTACAACTCGTGTCAGCTTTGAACTGGCTATCCTTGGTTCCTTCATTCTTCACACCTACAGCCTGCTTCATCAACATCAACAGCCACCTTTTATATTCAATCCTTTGTATACAGCAAGAAGCTTTCTTCAGTTTTAGTATCAACCTCTGTTTTGACAAACTTCCTGTCTTCAGCTCCCCACTGTCTTGGTTTATCTTTGATGTTAATTACGAGGTGTAAGCTCTCCTTGTTTACCTTATTCACCAACCATGCTTGTGAATCAGTCTCTCATGCTTCAAATACATTAAACTCCACTTTATTTCATTAAAGCACTCAAAAATCTTAAAACTTAATTTCCTTGCAGCCTTGTCAGTTGTTCAACCTAAGTTTTTGCAATTGGGGAAAATCGAAAATTGAGTTTCTGACCACCCTTGGTTACTTTTCAGGCTCCTTCTGGACCTGAAAGTTTTAAAACCAAAATACCTACCAAGGAATTGTATATGTACACATTTCTTGTTAGGCATGATAGGCTATACATGCTGTATGCATCATACATTAGTGCAGGTAGCACACATCATCGAGCTCAACATTCATTGCAAGGGCATTCATAGTGACGACGTTTGTGGACTGTACATGGCTGATGAGGGTTCGTAAATTTGGGAAGGTCCATTCCTGAGATCAATTTATGTGGAGTCAATCTTTTAATGGCTCTTTTGATTTTAAGGGCTACCTAGCAGACAATTTTTTGGGGCCCACCAGTATTTGGGGGGGGGGGGGGTCATTTGCTCCCAGGTCCCTGCTAATTTCGAGGCCTGCTATTATCTTCAGAATATAGTACAATGATAAATCAAAGGCCTTTATCTTGTTGATCCCCCCCCCCCCCTAGACAATTTTGTAAACTTCAATAAGATCATCTCTTGCCCTTCTTTTCTCAAGAGAGAATCATTTTAGTAGCCCTATGTTGGTAAACTTTCTTAGGTGAGAATATAAAGCTGTACGTAGCATTCTACACGAGGTCTAACCTAAATACATGCCTATAAATACATCCTAAAGTTCTGTAGCTTTACTTGTAGGAATACAGCACTGCTTTGATGACTTGACTGACTTATCCATTAAAATGCAAAGGTTTTTTTTTCAGTAACACTACGATTTAAACCTGTAATCCAAATTATAAACAAATGTGATCTTGTACTAAAATAATTAAAGATCATTTGCTAAATATTTTCTCAACTTAAATGATTCAACTCATTCAGTAATACTTCATCATCCTTTATACAGTTCTAAATACCCAAGAATTTCATGTTATCAGCAAACTTTATGAAGAAAAAGCAAAGGCCCAAGCACTGACCCCTAAAATACTCCACTAGGGTCCAATTTGACCAGACTCCATCAATAACAACACTTTGCTTTTCCCAACCCCTATTGATGTCATATTCTTGACTAATCTTTTGTGAGGCAAATTATCAAAAGCTTGAAAATCTAAGTACTTTACATCCTTTACAAAAGATAATAGATCAGTAAAGCAAGGTTTCCTTTGGCAAATTCATGTTAACTTTCATGTATGATATCCACCTAAATAGTTTTTGTAAAGCTTTTCAACAATCTCTAGAATCTGTCCCAATACAATGTTAAGTACAACTTTAATTAAAGGAAAACAAATTACACAACTATATTTCCAAATATATAACATTTTTATTTAAATCTCAATCTTCACATTTAGCTTCAATATAAAAATGATGAAAAGCTGATTAAATTTTCAATCAAAAGTCTTTTCTTCATTCTCATAACAAGTGATGTCTGCCTTGTCACTTTGTTTTATTATTCACAGTACATAATGAGTTTTCTCTCTATCTTAAACCAATGTCACTTTTCTTTGGATGCCATGTGTCTCATCAACTGATTACTTAGCTTTTCCACCTTCTTTACATCCTGGGTATGTTCTGTAAGAAACTGCAAACACTGCAAGGAAAAATACAAATTCACATTAGCTTCAATTTCTTATTTGTGTATGAAAGCACATTATGTTAGATTGACATAAACAAAAACACTTTTTAACTCAGTTTTTCAATTTACTACTTCAAATTTCCCAATTGAAATTCAAATTTGACCTCTTCTCTGATTTGCAGCAAAGCATTTCTCACCATATTTTTAATTATTTGCATGTTATAATTTATTTTAATGGGTTAGAAAAAAGCTGAATTAAAAAACCTGCTTTTTTTTAGCTCATTTCCAAAAACTGACATGTGAAGGTTTAATTTCTAAAATATCTTATTATTTACAATAATAACTTAATGCTTTGGAAATTTTGCCATAAATAAAGTTTTATAAAGTATTTTTTGTTTCTTAATAATCCAAATGCATTTTATGAATGATTTCCCATAACTCTTTTCATATCATATGTCTGCCTATAATATAAAGTTTTAATTCGAATTAATTGCTGCATTTCCAAGCTGAAAATTCTTCTCTGACTGTATTTAATATAATAACCAAAATCATATTACTTACAACATGGTCATCAGTAACTTTAATTACTAATTTTCCATCACAGTGCCGATACTTTATCACCAGTCGGACCTACAAAAATATACTTTAAATGTAAACACTTTCAATGAACTTAAATTATTAGAATAGTGAGGGGAAAAAAAAATTATTTAACCTGTTTTTATAACAACTTACTACCAGCAAGACTTATAACTTCAAAGTTTACATTAAAGCAGTCTTCTTAAGTATTTACATCTTTTTATACACACGTTTCACCTGTGGATACAAATAATAAAACACTGGAATATTATACTCTTGTTTTCTTTCTCTCCATTACTAATCTAATAAAGAAAACATTTGATATTACATGCAAATGTGTCCTGAAAGCAATCAATGATCCTCATTAAAACCACTCAATCTTATTTATTCTGTACTGTCAATAATTGTTACTGCTGCACAGTCACAACAAAGATTTTGGGTTTCAAAGTTAAGATATTTAAGAGCAATAATTTAGACCTTTAGGCATATATTATTAATTTTCTAAGCACAATAAAGATATGAAGTAAAAACAAACGAGACTTAACAAAGCTTTGAATGATAATTCTAGGATACATGTAAATGTTTACTTAAGGAAAACAATGAATAACCTTCAATAATTCTCATTAAAATGCTGTAAAAGCTTAACACCACTTAAAATCTACAAGAAACTAATTCTACAAAACAACAGTTCTATTTAACTATAACTTGGCCATATTATGCTGCATTAAAAAAATGGGTTGAACTGAATTTACAGAAATTTTGTAATAGGACCTTTGTAATTCATTACTTGGACAGAGCAGAGAAGTCAGGTTTGCTGAAAACAGTGAGTTCTCAGATCTCTGGTTTTGAGATTTATTTCCAACCAGTTTCAGTTATTGGATCATGAAAAGTAAGGTTTCAAACAAATAACAAATGTTTAATTACACATACAATAAACAGTATGGTAAGTAACTGTGTGCTGTGTGTTTAAAACAAATAACAAATGTTTAATTACACATACAATAAACAATATGGTAATTAACTGTGTGCTGTGTGTTTAAAACAAATAACAAATGTTTAATTACACATACAATAAACAATATGGTAAGTAACTGTGTGCTGTGTGTTTCAAACAAATAACAAATGTTTAATTATACATACAATAAACAATATGGTAATTAACTGTGTGCTGTGTGTTTCAAACAAATAACAAATGTTTAATTATACATACAATAAACAATATGGTAATTAACTGTG